AAATATATATAACTGACATGCAAGATCTAAGACTTTGGCATACTAATCCAAATTCAACATATTACATATAGATTAGCAGAAATATACAGCAGCAAACATACAATAAAAAATATCAGACAGCTGATGAATGTGATGGCAGGACTGTGGAGTTTGTGGTCAGTTTTAATGATGTTAAAAATAAAATGTGCATAATGGGTGCAATGCATTTTCTATTTGGTTTGTACCATATGAAATGCTAGGCATCATTTGAGGAAGGAAAAAAGTGTGTTTGTTATGATAGATGTGCTGGCAATTTAGAATGAAGCCGGGCCACATAACCATTTTGTTCAATACAGTATAGTGAATACAGAAAAAATAAAGATAACCAATAAACTGTATTTATTTACCAATACACAAACACGATCGCCGCAGCAAGCTCGTAATCGCTTTTGTTAGAAACTTCATTGCAACACGAAAAGCGCTGTTATATCCAATATCGCAAGAAATCGCCGAATTTTTTTATTTTACTGATTTTCCTAAATATTGTATTATTGTCAGATGCAAAAATCAGATTGGACCAATTTTAGCATTTTTACTTACACTTATTTTAATTTTTTCTACATAGTAACTTTATCTACAATCTATATTTCCATATAAATAGTTATATTTTAGCTCATTTGTGGCACAGTGCGGTGTTGGGCCGGATGAACTGACCTCGCGGGCCGTAGTTTGGTGACCCCTGGTCTATGCTAATTTTACGAAACGTTTTCACATAAGTTACCTACATCGTAAAGCCGTTTAAAGTTAAAATGTATTCAATCATTACAAAAAAAGACTACATACTTAAAAATGTTATCGGTATAAATTAGGCCATTTCTGACTGAGAATCTATAAAACTAATATGGATAATTGTTTTTGAATATTTAGTTACTTTTTTTAAACATAAGTTACATAGCCTATGTTATAGGAAATGATTATATCACCTGAAAAAAATAGAATATTAGACAAATTTTAATGTTTGAAGAATATTTCAATAGCTTGCAATATGATTATATTTTTAATTTGACATTAGAAATATTCATTTAAATTTTAGTTGAAAATCATATCAAATATAAGCATAATTAGGATCAGATCAATTGATTTTACTATATAGATAGTAATTCAAATTTCTTTTGTAATATTAAATTATAATTCAAATTTATTACATCAAAGATAGCCTAAAATATAATTTAAAAATATTAATAAAAATATGAAATATATTTATAATGTTTGATAAAAATAATTTTATTATTTTATTTCTATAATATTAACTTTCAGAAACACTTTACCATTGTATTATTATTAAAATCACATTATATTAACATTAGCAGATGTTAGGATTATTTAAATTTACATTAAAAATCTACTTTTTTCACTTTTTGTGACTTATTTTACTTTAAAACTGAAAAATCATAGAAACTACCCAACGTGATTTGCTTAAAGTTTCTAATTCACCAATCAGTCCCTGAACAAACTGTTTTCACATTTGCCATAAAGTTATACATTTAAAAAAATTTTAATATTCATAAATTTATTAACATAATTGCTCATGAATCTCTATTTTGTACTATTTCGTTACTCTATAAATCTAATAAATTACTTATTTATTGTACCAACTATAGTTTTAATCATTCTTTAATGTAAAATTTATCTTGAATTACACAATACAAGTATACATAAATATATTACCAATGTGCATAGGAAATTTTATGTGTAATATGTCTAATCTGTGGAATGTCATAATGCATACATGTTTGTGTAAATTAATTAAACAACTTATATTTCATTATTTAAAGCAATATTTGACTAAAGTTATAACATAAAAAATACAAACAATATAATGAAATTTATTTCAAAACAAAATAATAATAATAATAATAATAATAATATAATACTGCAGTTTTATTTTAAATGTTCACTTTTTTAAAATAAACTATAAAATTTGTGATAAAAATTTTAATTAAAAAATTATTTCTTTACTGATTTGATTACATTATTTAAAATTATTAAAGAAATTTAAAATGAATAAATTCTTACTAGACACTTCAAATACATCAATAATTAATAATTAAATCTAAATAAAATTAATATCTGAATTATTTAGATGAACTTTGGACAAAGTAAATTTAAAAATAAATGGAATTTATAGGATAAACATTGGCAATTCTATGACACTTTTTTAACACATCTTCATTAAATAAGTAATGTAAAATTAAATTTGAAATTTTGCTCAGAGATGGCATTGAACATATAAAATATGAAAAATTTGTCTGTTAGAAAAACCGATTATCTATTAACTGTCNATATTAAATCATCATGAATTATTATAATAATGTTTCAAACTGTTATGTTCTACTCATAATAATTCTTCAGTCTGGAGTGTTAAACAGTATTAAAACATCTTATAGAACCAAAACACTCCAGTAAATAATCATGGAAAGAAGGTCTAATATTTTCTATCCTTTCTACAGATCATCTTCCGGTCAAAGATCTTGAATTGGAATGCTATGCTCATTTTAATTTAAATTATGTTATTTTACATATGTTTTTATATTAAACTGCTGATTCCCACTTATTAACAAGTTTAATTTGTAGAGTATTACACATTATATCGTTAATTTCTTATAATTCTATTAAAATATAAAAATATACAAATTCTTAATTCACTATTTAAATATAAAAGAAAATGAAATTTAAAAAATTTAGATTATATATTACTTTAATTAATTAACTCATTTTTAAACTCAAATTAAAGAATTTCCACTGCTTAAAGGCATGTTTTTTAACAGTTTTATCAAGCAATGGCTCCTGACTTAATATTTAAACTCAAATTCAAAGCTATTATATTTTTGAACATGAATTTAGAAATGAATTAATATATTATATTATATGTAGCTTATTCATGAGATTTTAAAATGGTATATACAATTAATAATCTATGAAAACAACGAATTTTTATTTACAGAAAAGAAAATTAATCGAAAGACAATAAAAAATGTATAATCAAAGGCAATCGAAAAAAATAAACCTTAAAAATAATTCTAAAAACTGATATATTAACAATCCTTATCATAACAAATATTTCAATATTATAACTCATAATTTGCATGTATTCTATTGATAATATTACGTTATTTTTAGAAAAAACTCAACATCATAAATTGTCTGCTTTATAAAAATTCAAATAAAAAGATAAAAGAATAATTTTAATTTTAAATTACTAAGAATTTATACAATTACTTATTGCTCCCAATTAGTAAATAAGAAATAAAGATATCAATGTATGAACTATGAATTATTTTCATAGTTCATTCATTGTATTTAGATTCATAACAAAAAAATCAATTTTGTTATTTTTTGTTTAACATAAATTTTAATATATCAGTTCTTTTAATATGATATAGTGTTAAATAAAATAAAAATAATGAATTACAAACGAATATAGAAAAAATTAATTCTTAAAATATAACAGAATAGGAATTAGGAAATAATTCTTAGAAAAATAATCAAAGACATTGGGCAAACTTTACTACTAATAAATATTAAATACTTATTTAATAAGAGAGTTCTTTAGGAAAAATTTTTTAAGGATTTTTGTCTCAACATTTTATTTTGTCTAAAACAAATAAATATATTAAAAAGTAAATAAAGTTGGATTATTGATGTACTGAAATTTAAATATAAATATTTATATATTTATGAATCATTTTAACCATCAATAGATATTAATATAATANATTACTAATGTATTATCACAAGCTTAAAACACAAACTTTATATCTTAATTTTTTAATATATTCATAATGACAAAAAATAATGCCTTAAAAGTATAGTCATTTTAATGGTTTAGTTAACACTTCCATTTACATAATATACATTTAACAATTAAGAAATTATTAATTTTATCACAAATTTACCAATGTTTATCCTGTATTCAATACATTTAACAATAGTTTAGTAACCAATTCAACAACAAAGATTTTAAAATGCAAATTGTAAAATATTTTTATCTCCATTATGATGGATTAAAGATTCTCAATCTAAATAATATTGAGGATAGCATTGGCAGACTTTTTAAATGTTTTGTTGAATTTCAAATTTTTAATGAAAACATTCTGTAAAATACTTACTAAAAATAGTACTCAAATAAAATTAAGGTAAGCATTGTAATATTGTATATTTTATTAAAAAGACTGTATTGAAATATCTCTCATGAACCTATGGCTATATGCTTATCAATAAACTTTCAGTATAAAAGTTTATTGATTAAAGCATATAGCCACTAATCAGTAAATAGCACTGATTTTTTATTAAGTTAAAGTTATTAAGCTAAATAAATCTATTTTCATTCATATAATTTATCAATAACAAAACTACTTAATAAGCTACACATTTGTAATTCTTATAAAAAAAATTTTTTTACTATTTTAATTAAAACTTTTTTCTAANCACAAATTGTAATCAGCATTTTAAAAAATTTATATAAACTTTAACATATTTAAAAACTTAACTACATAAACAGGAGGCAAATAATCCATCAATTTGATAATTATTTTGCAATGTCACAATCCAGTTATCATCATATTGTTTGACCCAAGCACCTTTTACGTGATAAGAAAAAATGTGTTCATGACTATTTTGTGTATTTGCTTCTATTTCTAATGCTAAATTAAGATCAATTCCTGTCTGTTTTGGTTGTATTCCTCTTTTATTACCTAAAGTAATATGTGCTGAACACTGTGCAGACTGACTGTTAACAGGATTAATATCTAAAGAAGCTAATGATGGGATTAAACTATTTTCCCAACAATCCTCAGATGAACTAGCTTTATACAATCCTGTTCTGTTTTTAAATGATGTATTTTGTTTTGAAGATGTAACAGGTGACCATAATTCTAATTGACTGGCATTCAAATTTACCCATGCTCCAATTGATCGAGGACTTATAATAAAACCAATAATATTGAGCTTAGAAACTTTACCATATTCGTTTTGCACAATCATTTCATCTAAATATCGTTTAGCTTCAAGTTCATTATTTCTTCCACAGTATTTTGATGTGCAATGAAGAAAATATGAGTAATTATTTAATCCAAAGTACTGTAAAAACTCTGAAATAAAAAAAATTATAAATATTAAGAATTTTCAAAAAATTTTCATTTTTTTTCTTAATTTATTATAGATTGAACTGTTTTTGAAAATTCAATTTATTGAATTTATTCAATTAAACATTCAATTCAAAAATATATCAATTTTATAAATATTAAATTAAAAAATTATATTTAATTAAATGTCAACTAATACATTCTTTAGAAAAAGATGCAATGTATCAATAATTTGTTTGGATGTTTGGTATTTGAGAAAATTCACTTTATTCTAATATTAAAGATAAAAATTCAGCTTATATGTGAAAAATTATTTAAGATATTTAGCTGAGTATTTTACCTTTGCTGGGATTTTTCATCAAATGTCTGAATGTCATTGCAAATTCAGAAATATTCAAACATTCATTGAAACAGTGAATAGCCTTACGTTTTAAACTGTATGAATCTTCTTCATTAATAAACCAAGCAAAATAGAGAGGATATATATATTCCCACTGATTAAGTTTTCTCTCCAGTATTTCATATCTCAAACCATGTGTATTTTTTGATGCCAATTTTCCAGGAACAAATTTCCAAGGTGTTTTTGGTTCAATGATAAGTTGAACATATCCATTTTCATCAGCCAATGATAAATAATACTTGAATTCCCATATACAAATATTACAGTTATCTATCACAATAATTTGCTTCCCATTCTTACATGCTTGAATACTCTTTTGTTTACAGATGTGATGTGCTTCTTTTAATCTGGATGGATCAAAATTATATTCACCATTACATTCAAAGAAATGATCTGCTGAACACACAAAACAACATTTTCCATATTTTTCTTTAATTCTGTTTGCAAGATAAGATTTTCCACTTCCAGGGAGTCCTCTTAAAATTATCATTATTTTAGATTTTTGAAAAAATTGTAATGTATTTTCATCCTAGAATAATAATAATTCAAAATATATTTTAAAAATAAGTTAATATTACAAAAAAATGTCTTAGTAAAATAATTTACAATTTTTTTATAAATCTTCTTAATAGCTATATGTAATTTGCTATAAATTTTAAGGACTTATCACACCACAGTTTTCAATTGGAAAGTTCACAGATTTTATTAAACCAATATGTACAGTACATTTTGGGCTGATTATTACCCTTCTTCATTTAGTTATAATTCAAGTGTTTTTATATTTTCCAATTTGTATTCGACATTAAATTTAACATTTAACAATACAAATTGGAAAATACAAGAATACTTGAATTATAACCAAGTGAGGAAGGGTAATAATTGGCCTGAAATGTACCATACATATTGGTTTAATAAAATCTGTGAACTTTCCAATTGAAAACAGTGGTGTGATAAGTCCTTAAAATTTATAGCAAATTACATATAGCTATTAAGAAAATTTATTATAATATAGGACAGAAAGCAAATAATTATAATTAAAATTTTGCTTTTTACTTATTTATTGGTATAGCTAAATATAGCTTTATTTCTTTAAATCAAAATCTTAAACTAATTTTTGACAAAAAATTTATTCAGGAATATTTTTTTGATTTTTTTCTTTAGTATAATAGTTCTTAATCTGGGAAGCATGTACTTTCAGAGGTATTAGATAACATTTTATTATTATTTTTTATATAATTACTATTTTTCTTCCATTCTGAAATACCAAATAGAATCTTTGAAGAGGATGTAAAAGTATTGTCCCTATGTTCACAACTGCATAACAAGTACATATAATGTAAGCAGAACTGAAAGTGATATTTCATGTAGCCATGGATCAGACCATATTATCTTGTTGAATGCAAAATACCCAAAAATTTTTTCTTTATATTTTTTGAAATAATATTCTAAAATGTCCACAACTAGCTGTTGTGCTACTGTTCACAACTTCACAAGCAGCTAGTGCTATCATGTTGTGGATATCATGTTAACTATGTAGAGTCAATACAATGTTCTATAATTTCAGGTAAAGGTGTGCATCTTGCCAGAAGTTAGTCATTTTGAGTACTAGTATGTAGGATAAAATATGTGCAAACATCAATAGTTTATGTTTTTTTAATTATTGGTAATTAGTTTTTGGTATTTTCTATTCAACTGAATTCAGAGCTGCCCAGAGGGTAATGGGGGTCTGGAGCAAAATATATATAATAATTTAATTTGCTGTTAGGCCCCAATATTAAAAGAAATAGGTAAATGAAAAAATCATTCTATATGAGCTTCTACTTCCTCAGTCCAAGGCAATTTGCTCCTTCTGTCCCTTCTGGACATTCCTGACTGAATCATCCAGTATTATCCATAACTGTGCAAGTGTCACTTTCAGTTCCTCTTCCACTATGCTTTTGTTATATAGTAATGCATGTAATATTTATAAGTGCATGTTTTAGAGTCTATTCTGGGCCACTTGGAATTTCAGAATGAAAGAAAAACAGACTACCATGTGTAAAACCTGCAGTGGCTTACAGCTTACAGAAAATTACTAGAATAGAAAAACATTTCCATAATCTACCCACTGTATAGACTATCTTTTTGGATAACAAAAAAAAAAAATGTGCATTCTCTGTATGAAGGACTTACTTGAACATCTGTTTCATGTTTCATATTAGTTGTAACTAAATGACATACAAGTGAACAATGCCTGGAAATTATTTTAATTCATTGAATATCGAAACAAAATTAAGATATCAAGAAAAACAAATATAAAGATTTGGAATTTTCAAATCCATTACACAAATATATCAGAAATAACATTTAAACAGTTAAATCCAAATGTCTCAAAATAATTTTTATTTTACACAAACTACATGTACTTATATCAGTGTTATTCAACCTTTTTTATATTGCGGTACACTCAAGTACCTATAACTAAATTTCCACATCACACTTAAATTATAATGTTACACAGAGAAAAAAAATCATGTGATTTAAAGAGAACTGACTGAGAACTGACTGAGGAAGAAGAAGCTCATATAGAATGATTTAAAGTTGTGTTTGTAAACATTCTATTGCCATATTACTTGCATTTAATATAATTCTTTTTATCTATATTTTTTTGTAAATTAAATAAAACAGCATTATTGTTCCTTAAAATAGCAGCAGGTTACAACAATAGTCATTTAAATTAATAATTTTCAGTTACGTAAGAAAAGCAATTAAGTCTTAATTTGCATTTAAAAGTGGCATGATAATTGCTTTTAGAAATCTGCCCAATGACCTGCTATTTGTAAATTAAAATAATTTGAACTAATTTGGACAATTATAGATAACTTACATTTTTGATTTAAAGAAAATTTCATCTTAAATAAAATAACCCAGTGTTATGCACATATAATTTTGCTTATGGATATATATTTTTTACTACATTATGTATACATTATAACAATAAAAAACTCATATAATCAATTTAAAGAGATTTTAATTTTGACATGTACAGTACACTTATTGTTCTTTGGGCTTCTTTTGAAAGTAATTTATTTAATAACCTTCGAAAATTTTCATGGCACACTGGTTGAAAATCACAAACCTATATAAAAGAATCTTTTATAGCATATAAAAGTTTGGAAGGGTTTAATTAGTCAATGATGCATCTAATATTTTCAAACATTGGGCTTTTGAAAATATCTGGCAAATTTTTTAAAAATGTATTTCTCTGTGGTCATTTAATTGTATTCTTTAATACAATAAACAAACAATTAAATCAATCCTGAANTTGTGCAATATCCGCTATTGGTCTAGATTCAACCAATTCTGTCGCGACACGAGTCGGCGATGACGTTTTACCGTATTATACGAGTCTCTTTTAGCGTGTTTATAGGAATACGGTCGCAATAATTTTCGCCGAGTTATACGAATTCGTATTATATGAACCCGTGTTATAAGGGGTCTACTGTATGCATGCATTGATATATCCATTCTTCGAATTCCAAAAAATTTGACGTTCGAAAGCGAATAAAGTTAAAATGCAGAAGTTCCAGCAAAGCACATTTGGAAAACATGCTGTAAAACATTGTCTTTAATTAACATAAGAAGTAATATCCTGGCATAATTGTCAGAGGAGGATTTTATTCATTTTGCATTTTATTGAGGAGGTGTATTCTCAAAAGAAAAGTCGTGTCTTTAACTGTAAATTGTTTTTGGAAATCAGTGGTGTTTGTAACGACAGAAGACGAATACAATTTTGTAGCTTCGGTAAATTTTATTTATATATATTTTAATGTAAATACCCTTTTGCTTTTGGCCAAGATTTAAGTTTCATCAAGTTCAGCATAAACTGACCTTTCTCAATTGAAATTTACCTGTAATTATATCAGTTGTATTAATAAACTCTAGCAGTTTGGTAAACTGTTCCTTATTTGATAATCCACTTTAAAGTGATAAAAGAGATGGATCTTAATAAATATTAGCTATAATACTCTGTTCTAACATTTTTTCCTAGACTCACAATTTTATATTTTCTTCTAACATGATATTAATATACAATAAGTTTCAGCTACATTATTTTGCAAGTGGTTTTTCAATACTTATATCCTCTGTGGAATGATCAGAAAATGGTTCAGCTATCTTTTGTTTTTTCAGCAATTTTGAATGAATTATCTGGATTTCATCTTTTATAGCAATTGTAATGTTCTATTTTATCTTTTATATTTTCTTAAGATTTGCAAGGAAGTAATAATGGCATCCAGTCTGGATTGTTGGGATCATTGAATAGTTGACTTATGAAATGAACATTATATAAACAAACATTCTTTCTTTTAATATAAGCATTTAATACATACAAGTACAGTAGAGCATCGTTTATCCAAATCAATTGGGGACTGGGGTTGTTCGGACAACTGATTATGTACGAAAAAATATATTAACCTATCCCGTGTTGAAATTTTTCTCCGTTGTGTGTCACTTTGCGTTGAATTTTCATCGATGTTAAGCCTAACGTAAACTTTTTAAAATAATAATCGTGGCTATTGTATCGTTAAAAATGATTTTTTTATGTTTTACAAATGAAATAAATACATTGAAAAATATAAAAACAAATAAAAATTATACTTTAGGCCGACTGGAATTCTTTCGGATAACCAATGTTTCGAATAACCGACTTTCGGATAAACAACTCTCTACTGTAATAACAAATTACTGTCACAAATGATGTCAGATAGCTGCTCTATACAAATTTTGAATTACAGTAGAGCGTCAATTATCCGAAAGTCAATTATCTGAAGGAATTTCAGTCGGCAGATTTAAATTTTCGCCAGTGCTGTGGCGCTGCAATCTTTGGCTATGTCCTGGGCTACTCAAATATTTTACGTTTTTGATTCTAAATTAACTTCTGAAGTATAATTTTTTATTGTTTTTATATTTTTCAATATATTTATTTTGTTCGTATAAAATAAAAAAATAATTTTTAACGATACAATAGTCTTCATTAGGCTTAACATCGACGAAAATTCAACGCAAAGCAACACGCAACAAAGAAAAATGTCAAGATGAGATAAATTAATATATTTTTCGTACATAATTGGTTATCCGAAACATCGGTCTTCCGAACAACCCCAGTCCCCAATTGATTCGGATAATCGACGCTCTACTGTACTATTTTGTTAAAAAATTCTAACACAAATTCTAACAGAAAAATAACATTGTGGTTTGAGATGATATATAAATTGCATATCACTAAATATCATGTTTTCAATGGTTGCTACAGTGATGCAGTGTATACTGTATTCAACAATAAACTTCTCTGATTTCTAACTTCCTATTGTTGCTAGTCAATGTTATTGGGAGTGTGAGTATTTCTAGAAATATTGTTTATGATGTTTTGAGATAATAAGTGCAAATTTATATCTTAAACATAAACATGGAACAGTATGTTGTGTAATAAGATGTTCAAAGACATTGGGAGCAAATAAACTTTGGACAATAAACACATAATTTCCCATAAAATCTGGAGGTATTCATCTGGGAGGATGTATTTATCTGCAATGGAATGCATTGAGCATTTCATTGCAGATAAATACATCCTCCCAGATGAAGTCATTGAGATTTTTTCTTACTACAGTACATTTTAATATACATTTATAATATGATAAAATACATAAAATTGTTTTAATTCTCATTGACTTAATCTGATTAGTAAATGTTCAATATATATTTAAATTAAAAGGATTGTTATACAAAGTTATAAATAAAAAATATTACTACTTAAAATGATAATCAAAATTACCTGTATAAAAGGAAAATCTAATGTAGCATCAAATCCTCGTTTATGAAAATTACTATCTAAACTCTTAGATCTTGGTCCCCGCTTTCTCCAGTCTTTTCTTCTGCAAGATCTGTCATTCATTATCTTTATTTCACTCCTATTTATAAACAAATACATAATTTATGTGAATGATATATTATTGATTAAACATCTCATTAAATTCTTTAAAATAATTTTATTCCTTTTTAAAAATAATTTTAAAAATTAAAATTCAGTCTAAAAACAATATTTTAACTTAAATACTGATAGTCTAGCAGTAGAGCAAATTTTTGGCTTCCATACAAATATAGTAATAAAGGCTTTCCTGTAAACTTCTGGCCTCTCTAAGACTCTTCTAAATACTATTACCCATTTTCAATATTATAAACTTTAACATGCAATTGTATACTTTGTTTCCCATCCTTTTGTCCCCTCCTTAATGAAATGAGCCCCCAGTTGACATAGGCATCTATGCAGTTGTATAATCTACATCTATGGTTGCTCTGCAACTATAGTTGTCAAAAACTCAAATATCTTGAATATATCATAATTCAGTATTTATATAGTTTATAGTAGATGTATTTACTCTCTAATAAATAAATTTGCTTTATTAGTGAATTTTTTACTTACTTTGTGAGTCATAGTTTAGTCATTATTTGTTATAACTAATTTGAAATAAATAAAAATTTTGCAATACACATATTATTGATGAATCAGCATTTCTTGTCAACCCTGACTCCAACTCTGGAGTTGATATTTTCGGCTTGCTGACTCTGACTCCAACTCCTTAATATTTTTATATATTACCCATCATTTCTTCAATGAAATATAATTATTTAGGCTAATTTACTAATTAATGTTGGTTTAAAAGAGAGAAACAACACAGCAGAGTAAACAAAAGCCCACCACATAGAGAAAAATGAAAAAGGAATGAGAATAAAAAAATAAACAAATATAGACTGATGACAAGGAAAGTTTTATCCCAATAATAATGGCAATCATTTAGAATACTATTAGTGATAACAGCAAAGAACAAATCAACAATCAAATACTTTCACACAAAGCCAAACAACCACCAGATTACATTGTGCTACTTTTCCATGATTATATTTAATTAATTTTTACATAATTTGTCACTAAAGGGAGGTGTTAGGCACTATCTCTTATTAAATAAGAGATAGTGTCTAACACCTTCCTAAAAAAACAAAATTTTACAGAATTTTTAAAATATGCATTTCCATGTAATAGTGAGTGTCTATCATTTTGCAAAATTTCTATAAGTATAGGGCTAACAAAAGAAGGAGAATTTTGTCCCAATCAGAATGGAAGAGGGGTAAGGTCAGATATGTGTAAGGGGCAGAAACTGAGAAAAGTCCTGATGTAGCCCAAATTTGGCTGATTACACAGATTTATCACATCTTGTAGGTTAAGTGATGAAATGGAGTCAGAGATCAAGTTAAAAAAAATAAATGCTCCAACTTTCTAGATAAAATACCGGTACTAATAAGTATCACCTCTAAGTCTATAAGCCTTTTGAATTTCCAGTACAATTCAAAGATAATGAATGAACAAACAATTTTGATCCTTTATCCAGATCTGCTTCAGGTTCATTGATGATTTTCAAGTTTGGAATGTCAAGAGTTTCAAACATTTTCAAATACAAAATTGCTTATATCATTAATGAATTGATAATAAAGATGTGAATGCTTGAACCTCCAAAACTATATTTTAATGCTGTGGCAGATCATTGGGGTAATATGTATTTACTTATGTAGGAATAATATACATAAGTAAATATATTATTCCCCCAATGATCTGCCACAGTATTAAAATATACAGGATGAGTCAAAATTATGTGAACAATCTTGGGTGAGTCAAAATTATGTGAATACTACTTGAGAGAAAGCATTTACTCAAAGTTTGCATTATACAGAGTCTCAACCTGACCACCAGCACGATTAATGCACTCAAACCAACATTCAACAGTACAATTTAGTGCCAGAACACCGGAGATTGGGGACGCCATAACAACGGTCCATCGTGACCAATCAGAATAGAAAACGAAACAAAATTAAGATGTTTCATTAATAATGTTTAATTAAAAATTAAGATTGTTCACATAATTTTGACTCATCCTGTAGTTTTGGAGGTTCAAGCATTCACATCTTTATTATCAATTCATTAATGATATAAGCAATTTTGTATTTCAAAATGTTCAAAACTCTTGGCATTCCAAATTTGAAAATCATCAACAAACCCAAAGCAATCTGGATAAAGGATCAAAAACATTTGTTCATTCTTTATATTTGAACTGTACCAGAAATTCAAATGGCTTATAGACTTAGAGGTAATACATGCTTCATTAATCTTGGAAAGGCATTTCAGACTCAGTCCCTCATCAGCCAAACATCAAATGTAGATGACTAAATTATGTAATATTACAGAAAATTATTTTTCAGTTACATAATATTTCAAATTATTTATCAGACATTTAAACCATACCTATAAGCAGAATTTCTGGTATATATAGATATACAGTCGACCCCCCTATAAGATATAGATACGTTCCAATTTATTAGGAATCCAATTTCTTACAAGTCGTTCCAATCACAGCCCGACACGTGTCAAGTTTACGGACTACGGCTGATTGAAAGGTTTTCTTCCATAAAATTAATCGATTCTACACTAATCCGACTCAACATTTCCAAAATACGTATATTTTTTCGTAGTTTTATAGGAATCGTAATTATAGGGACCGTAATTATAGGGGGGTCGACTGTATAACATAATGATCTTGCTCTCAATCCAATCAATAACTAATGACTGTATATTTACCTATTTAATTTATATATAAATATATAATTTATATTTACAAAAAATTTCTAAAAATTAACTGACAGTTATATAATTTCTTACCTACTGAATAACAATTTTAAATCAGCAAGAATATTTATTGAGATAAGTCTTAGTTTAATCCATTTATTTAAGAAGCAGATCCCTGCTTACATAAGTTTTTCCATGTAATCTTTGATTACATACATATATTTATATCTATAGTTCAGTCCTCCTTAATTCAAGGTGTCAATGACTCTGGTCTAAAGTTGCCCAAGTTATTCCTGGTGCAGCTGCTGCGTAATATAGTAGTTGATCCAGGCCAGTAGAGTTAATCAAAAACTTCATTAAGAAACTTCAGACTATGAGGCGTTAATCTGAAGTTTCTTAATGAAGTTTTTGATTAAGTTAACTGTTGGCGTGACATCTGAACTGAGTATTTAATACACCTAACAAGGCCAGTAGAGTGATCAACATAAAAAAAATTTTGGCAGTAAAATCAAATAACTTCATACAGGTGTTGATCAAGAAAAAGAAGAAATGTAGAGAGCATGACAAAAAGGCTGCAGGTTCTTGACACACCAAATAACTAGGGGTCGTATTCTGGTCACCGTCTCTGGTCTCTCGTCTCTCACAAGCCGGTCGCTGATTGGCTAATCAGTGACCAGCTGGTGAGAGACGAGATCAGAGACAATGACCAGAATATGGTCCCAGTACTGTATCTTTGAGTACAAGCTTTTATTAACTTCTAGTCACTCTATCATCCATCTGATTGATTTCAGGTCCCTCTCTGCACACTCTAACTGGCATCATATTTGTAACCAGGTGAACTCAAGAATTAGGTAAGGTGGGAGAGATCATCACCACTGTTAAAGACAATAGTAAAATTCAATACCAACCTGAGATAGTTGATCTTGGAACTTACATTGTTTATTGTTTACATTGCATTCTTCTTATGTCATGTTTCTTTAAAAATGTTGGTTATAATTATTATTATTAAAAATACAATCTTGATGAATTTAGTGGAATCTGGGACATATCAGTAGCTTCACACAGGTTTCAAGTTTTTAAAAACATTTGGAAACAAATACAATATAATCCAATATACAGTACATAAAAAAAAGTTTCTATATTTTTGGAAAGAAAACTGTCCAACTTCCTCACAAAATTTGAAAACACTTTTTATTATTAAAACAAAATATAAAACAAAACAATGCTATTAAAGACTGATAATTGGAAACATCAGCAAAAAACTGGACAAATGCCAAACACAACAAACATTGAGACAGCATGCTTGAAAAAGCTAACTGTTTACCTAAAAGACAAACAGTTAAGAGCTCTGGAAAACCCATGGATTATATAAAGTTCTTAACAAAACTGTAGAATTTAGAATATTAAATTTAAGATATATATAAATCAACTTTATTTCTTAAAGAAATCAATCATAATTAAATAAATTTTAAAAATAAAATGAGAATTCATTTTTAAAACCTCAAATTTCATTATAATCTACAAAATAATTTAAAATTAAAATAAATGCAATTAATATTATTATGATATAAATCTATAGTTCAATTAATTTTAAAATTTAAATACAATATCTCATTAATGAAAATTAAAACTCCCTACCATAAAACATATGCACTGTGAATATCATGATCAAGGTAACATATAATTGTATATCAATTTTAATCAATACAAAATGTGTATATATGCAATGTATATAGAAATCAATATCTGATTACAAACAATGAATACATAGAGCTGCTATATCTAAATTGTTATTAGATTATGAAAATGATAAGATTATAAAAATAATCATATAATTATCATTATATGAATTTTTATTTTATTTGAAAATGTAAAAACTGTAAATGATTAAAAGTTTTTATTTAAAAATTAGAATAGTATTTAAAAACCAAGTTTAAATTTTGTTTGTTTTGTATTTATTATTTGGTATATGATACTATTATTTTAACATGTATATAGCCTATTATTGCTTCTACATAAGTTCTTAGTTCTTACCTAATTAGTCAGACCATTATTTGTAGTACAGTATTTGACAAATGTCTATAACAGGACAATGCATGGTGCACAAAAGTTTTAAGAGAGTGGAGTTTAAAAATGTTTTTTTTTTTTTATAACATAGTTTATCAATTTTTTATAATATAGATACAAATATATAGAGTAACACAATCCAGTATACCAACATTTCTCAACCTTTTTAAGCCCAGAGACCCAGTAAAAATTTTTGAAAAAAATTCTATGGATCACTTTAAAAAATTA